GAGCAAGAGAGTAACAAAGGGGGGCCGGGGGGTGGGAGGACATTCGCAAAAGAGTGCGGGATAAGGGCGGGAGGGGGNCCGGGTGGAAGGGGCGAGGTGGGGCCGGTGCAGCACGTGGAGGTGTACGAGGAGATAAACGTAGTGGTCGTACTGGTGGTGGGAGTGGTGGTGGTGGTCGTACTGGTGGTGGTGGTGGTGGTGGTCGTACTGGTGGTGGTGGTGAGCAGCACTGGAAGGTACAACGTGAGATGCAGTCCGAGCAGTCTCCCTCCCTCCCTCTCCTTCCCTCCCTCCCTCCCTACCTACATCGTCTGTGCGTGCGTGCGCGTGTTCGCGTGAGTGTGTGTATGTGTGTATGGGGAAATGTTTCCCCCCGTTGAGTCCCTCCCCCTGCTGGTTAGTTCTCCCCCACCCCCACCCACCTGGGCCCAGCACAACGTGATCAGCTCCCGCAGCTGGTCGGGCCACCGGCGGGGGATCTCGGGGCGGAAACCCCGGGCGACTCGCTCAGCATAGGCCTGCAGGTGGGGCGAGGAAAGGGAGGATATGTATGTATGTTGTTACAGGGTGGTTAACTTCGCCAGCGGCCCCCTTTCCCGGGGCAGTCCCTGCTCTCCCCTGCTAGAGGGGCACCCTAATCCGTCACCCCATCCGACTTCAGAATGTATTCGTTGGGTTCGGCAACTCACCACCAGCATCCAACCAAATCTAGCGGATCAACGGCGCATCAACTTAGTTCCTGGTCAGCTCGCAAGTTGATATTATCACGTCCTACACCGTCCATATGATGGGGGGCCACCTCCCATTTCATCACTCCTCAAACACCCGAGGAGCTGGCAGGCGGATTTGAACCCGGGTCGACTGGATCGACTGGGAGCAGAAGTCAGGCCTTAACTTCTGCCAGCCGCCTGCCTGCCTGCCTGCCTGTATGTATGTATGTATGTATGTATGTATGTATGTATGTATGTATGTATGTATGTATGTATGTATGTATGTATGTATGTATGTGTGTATGTATGTATGTATGTATGTATGTATGTATGTATGTATGTATGTATGTATGTGTGTATGTATGTATGTATGTATGTATGTATGTATGTATGTATGTATGTATGTATGTATGTATGTATGTATGTATGTATGTATGTATGTATGTATGTATGTATGTATGTATGTATGTATGTATGTATGTATGTATGTATGTATGTATGTATGTATGTATGTATGTATGTATGTATGTATGTATGTATGTATGTATGTATGTATGTATGTACGATGTGTGGGACAGGGGGGTCATATCTTCATCCTGCGGCCGCTACCCTGCGAAACCCTGCCTTCCCCGGTATTTCGGGGCACCCTCATCCAGTCACCCTAGTCAACTTCTCAGTGGATCGCTCGGGTTCCGCACCCACCACCAGCATCCAACGGAATCTGCCGAATCGACGGCGGCCCAACTCCATTCCTGGTCAGCGCGCAGGTCTACTTTATCCCAGGTCACCACCGTCCATCGACTAGGGGCACATTTACCTTCCACCATAGGAAGGATCTTCGACCCTGACAGGTCTCGATCCCGGAACCTCCGGGGGCATCAGTACGTATGCATGTGCTCACCTGGGCGTCCTTGCGCGGGTCGTTCTTGATCTCGTCAACCAACATCAGTTTCCGGTTGAGAACCTCAAATAGGATGACTCCAAAACTGAACACGTCAACCTTTTCGTTGTACGGCTGGCCGAGCACCACCTCCGGCGCCATGTAGGCCCAGGACCCAACCGCCTCCGTCAAGTTGTACCTGGGGTGGGGTGGGGTGGGGTGGGGGTGGGTACGACCAAGCATAGGCGATTCACGCGCAGAGAAATGGGGTGAGGGGCCAACCTGTACAGTACGCAATCAATATTTCCATTATACACACACATACATACGCGCTGGTGGATGCTGGCGGATGCTGGTGGTGAGTTGCTGAACCCAACGAATACACTCTGAAGTCGGATGGGGTGAATGGATTAGGGTGCCCCTCTCGCAGGGGAGAGCAGGGAACTGCCTCCAAGGGAAAGGGGGCCGCTGGTGAAGCTATACCACCACCCTGTAACGACACACATACATACGCGCACACACACACACACCTGACTTCGTTAACCCAGGTAACGGCGCGGCGCGGCGGTGCCCTCTTCCTCTCCGTGGCAGCCGGGCCCGCAACAATGCCCAAGTCGTCCATAATCTGCAGTACAACAACACAGGACGAGCAGTTAATTGATTGCCTAATTAACAGAATGCCTAAATATACAGCCTAAACGTCGTCACCTCCAGTAAGCATGCACGCACACACGCACATACAGACACGCACCTGCGCCTTCTCCGCCGCCGCCATTGTCGAGTTCTGCTGCTGGATCAATTTGTTGAGCAGCGCCTCGTTCTGCGCCATCTTGACTTGCTTCTCCCGTGCCTCTGCGCTCAGGTCACCACCACCACCCGCCGCCTCCTCACCCGCGCCACCCACACCGGCGGCCGCGGGCTTGGCGGCCGTCGCGCCAGCGGCGCCGGCCGTCGCCGCGGCGGATGCAGCTGTGGCGGCACCGCCGGGCGCCATCCCCTCCGCCGCCGAGGTACCGTCCGCCGGCAACTTGCCCGTCACTCGCAGCTTGATTTCCTTCATCTTCGCCATCAGCTTCTGCATCGAGTTCTGCTTCTTGGGGGGCGCCCGCAGCCGGCGTACCGGGTCCTGCGGAGCAATGCCCTGTCGGAACAAGGGCAGGAAAATAGCTCTATGCCGGCGGAAGAGAGAACGGCAGCGGCAGCGGCAGGGACTCCAATAAGGCTGACCACAAGCCGATGCCAAAGACCCAAGAACAAAAAATACAGCACTCTTTGTGGCCGTGTACACTCGAGGCTATGTAGACATGCTTCCCCCTTCCGCCCGAGCGGTGCGGAGGCGACGCCAGACAAAGCCGCCTCCATGCGCCCGCGTGCTGTCAGCCCCCCCTCCCCCGCCCGCCCCCCTCCCCCCCCCCCACGCCCCCCACACCTAGCAACAACCCAAGTACCCGCTTCACCAACGCCACCATGCGCAACAAACACGCCTACATCCCTCCCGCCGCTGCCGTACATACCTCGGTCACATCCACTGCTGTGCCGTCCTCCGGTATGGCGGGCTGAGCGGGTCGACCCAGCGGCGACCTGGAGAAGGAGCCGTTGCGAGCCTCGCCCTGCCCCGCCGCAGCCCCTCCGGCCACCCCCGTCCCTGCCCCTGCTGCTGGACCCTCCACAGCCTCCTCCTCCTCACCATCCTCACTCACAGCCGGCATCGCGCTCGCGCTGCCAGCGTCGCCTGCGGCACGACGCAGACGCGACGCACCAGTGGTGCCGCCGCCACCGCCGGCAGCCCCGGAGGGGCTGCCACCGCCGCCGCCGGCTCCGCCGCCGCTGTTGGCAGCCGCCGCCGCCGCCGCCGCCGCCCCTCCGTGCCCCGCTGCAGTGGCCATCATCATGGCCGCCTGTTCCCGGCGCTGTTGTGCGAGTGCGGCCTCCAACTCGTCCTCCTCCTCGCCAATCTCTCCTTCAGCCGCCTGCTGCTGCATATGGCGGCGGGCTAGCATGCCGCCCATGTTGGCCTCCGACATGACGCGCTTCACCACCTTCTTGATCCGGTCGTCAATCACCTGGCGGCGGCGGGTAAGGTCCCGAACAACATCAACACAAGAGGACGGCAGAGGAGGATGTCGTCAAGTAACAAGGTAAAAGGCTACTAAGGCCCCGAGGTAAGCCCAGCCGTGTAAGCACCTCGTTAGAGGGAGGCCGTGTTTGGCTTTCCTCGCATAGAGGTTTTGACGATAATGGTTTGCCGAGAGAGCATTTCATCAGTATCCCACATGGGGCAAAGAAGTCACGCCTCCAACAATGGACTGACAGCTCCGGAAGGCCCGCTCCTATAACCCGCGCACAACAAACCCCTCCTTCGCAAGAAGAACCAGCTTCCCAGAAAGCCATTTATCCGGCCCCAGCGCACACATACATACATACATGCATACATTACATACATACAGGTGGGCACCCGCAGCTCAGGTCGTCAAAGCACCCTCATGCAATATCCCCCCCCTAAAGACAACACAACACAGTACAGGACAGGGCATCACCACACAGCGCAACTCTTGACATGCCCCCCCCCCTCCCACCCACCCCCTTACCTTGTGAAGACCAAAGTCCACCAGCTTCGCCACCGTGCCCGTGGGGCCCTCATCCGGCATCAACATGATGTTCTCCAGCTTGAGATCCCGGTGGATGATCATGGGCTTGATGTCGCTGGTCGAGTGGAGGTACTGCATTCCGGCCGCCACGTCACACAACCACTCCAGGGCCTCGGCACTCGTGTACACACACTTGTGGCGGTTGAGCATCTGCTTGTAAACCTGGGGACGTGAGGGAGTGAGGGTGTGAGAGAGTGAGGGTGTGAGGGAGTGAGGGTGTGAGAGAGTGAGGGTGTAGGATTGGGACGTATGTGATGTGCGGCTGCGTGCGGAATGTGGTACTGCGTGTATGTGTTGGGGGTTGTTATTATTGTGTGTATGTGTGTATGTGCGTGTGTGTAGAGGGGGGGTGATAAGGGGTAGTTTTTGGGGTGGAGGGGTAGTAGGCGGAGGTCGTGCAGGCGTGTCAGAGGCCCCAGGGGTTGGGGCGCCTCACTGAGGCGGACTCGCTGAGGCGCGTTGCTATAAACACACACGCACACACGCGGGATATACGCACACATACACACGGCCAGCAGCAAGCGCACTCAATCAGGCGGCTCGAGGGGGGGGACCCAAAGGGGGCCCTGGAGACCGCGGGGGGACTTAAAGCAGCAGCACCGGCAGCCCAGGAGGTGTGTCGGTATGTCAGTACTACTACTCTTATCCCGCCCAACGACCGGCCTGTTTCCCCCCTTCAAACCCCCCATCCACCCAACGCGGGAATACACACACGCCGGCCAGCGGGGACGAACGCGGGGGCGGCCAGTGAAGGTTGTGGACGGTGCGGAGAGGAGGAAGCATCCATCCCTCATCCCGCAAAAACTTCCCGCGCATGTTCCCCCCCCTTTTTCCTGGATATTCGTCATACCCCCCCCTCACCTCCTACACACCCACCTCCCCGGACGACTGTGCTAGACGACCTTACCTTGTGCAGCAGGTTGCCGCCACGTACGAGCTCCTGTACGATAAACAGCGACCCAGGGTTCTGGTCGTCCTCATCGTCGTACTTGCCAATGCCGTAACAGGCCACAATGTTCCTGCGCAAGATGACAAAGCAGCGGGAGCACGGCGGCGCGGCGTGAGGGGGGAGCGGATAATTACATGCGAATGCAAAAGTCACATGCAAAGCCGGAAGGACCCCACACCGCTTTTAGCCGGGGGTTGAAGGGCTCGAAGGCCCATGGATCCCGGTTATTGGAGGATGTGCGGGAGAAGCGAGGAAGAGAACTCCCAGCGCGTCAGCTGCAAAGGAGTCCAAAGTCCAAGGGTTCGGGTGTGTGGCCGCGGCCATTTTATGGCCTAGCATGCAATGATGGGCGTGTGTGGGTCGGTAGCAGCGATTGCGGCTCTCAGGCTCTTTGCAACCCGTCTGCAACACCTTTGAGGGCAGCATAAGGCCCCCTGCCCTGCTGGTAGGTAAGAAAGGTATCGTGCTGTTAGGGGCTTTATGTCGCTGGCGGCGCGGGCGGGGGTGGGTTCAAAACGGGAGCATGGCCGTGTATAAGGGGCAGATGGACTGACAGACGGATGGGCAAACCGACATACAGACAGACTATTGTGGAGGGAAATGTGCTGCTGTGGTCAAGGGTGGTGGTGGCGACCGCCGTGGATATATATGGGAGGACGTTGGGTGCTCTGTGTGTCGTAGACAACCGTAGGTACGGCAGGTGGCTGAAACGGGGGAGGAGCTGCAGGAGATACAGCTGGCAGGAGACGTCGCCTGTGTTTTGATGTGTGTATGTATGTGTGTATTTCAAACGCCAAGTATAGGTTACGCACGCTGCGCTGCGTTTCGTCTGCTAAATTGTAGACACCAGCCAAAAAGTAAAATAGTTTAGGCGGCGGGACAGGGGAGAAAGCGGATAGTGTGAATTACGTGGACTGGGTGGCGTGTTGCACACACATGTCGCGATGGGGAATTAAAGAGGAAAAAGCAGTAGGAGTTCCAGATGCGTGCATGGCTCGCAAAACCCACATCGTTGGGAAGCGGCTCAAATGCGGGCCGAACATGAATCTTTGCGCCAGGTTGTGGCAAAGAGTGTCGGGGGAGTTGGAGAAACGGTGTGTTCCAACCATCGTTGCTGGAGCGTGCAACTCGCCTGTGGCATATCTTGGTCATAATCTTAGCCTCCTTGATAAAGCGCAAGCAGTCGGACCTCCGCTTCAGCATATTCTTCTTCAAGATCTTCACAGCGACAACGCTTTCCTCCAGCGTATCGGGGTTGGTGTAAATTCCCTCATACACACGAGAAAAAGCACCCTCGCCGATGGGATTGAGGATCTTGACCCAACTAGCATTGAAGACAATTGACATAGAGCTGGCGTCATTGCGAAAACTGTCCTGATGACTGGGCGGCCGGCGAAATGAGTTATCTCTCCCTGCAAACGAGCCTGTCCGTGAAACCCCAGACGGCGTCTGTGGTTGGGAACCTTGCAGCTGCTGCTGTACTTGCTGCTGCTGTGGTTGCTTAAGCCAGCGGGGGTCCAGTTGGTAAGTGTCCATGCTCCTGCGAGGGCGAGTTTAGTACGTTCAAGACCAAGGGTCCATGAATCGACTTAAGCACATACAGTAATCTTTGCATCCAAAAGCAAGCCAAACTGAGGAAGGAGCGGAAAGCTATATCGCCTAATTTCCGCCGTACCGTGCCGCAACTCAGCAAAATGCAAGTAAGCGCAAATTTGGACTTAATGTCACGGAAAAGTTGTTCTGCTCTCAAAAGCGAAGAGGTCCAGAAGAGGTACTGTCACGCACTGACAGACCTGATTTGGCAGGCGCGTACCAGATTGCGCGTTTCACACGCGCTTCAAATAAGTAACACAGCGCTGGTGCAGTGTGCTGGTCCAGGAAACTGGACACGGCCGAGAACGTATCTTGATGTACGGATTTAAGAAACCGCTGACCTTGCCGTCGGTGATTCACGAGACGGCTCCAGTTTTAGCCAAAGCAATGTATTTTAAGCTTTTAGCTGCCATTTCAGATGCTTCTAGGCCAATAGTTATGCTGCACTTCGGTCGCCAGCCTTTGATGCGAACTGTCGTGATCGCGGTTACACGAGTTTTTGGGCTAGGATGTGCCAGAACATGTACTGGTATCAGGTTGAAAGAGTAAACTTTTACTCATGGAGTCCATATTACGTCGTCGTGGCAAAGAGGCGGATCCATTGAAGCGACACTCCAATCCCGTTATAGCCTCGCTTAACCCATCAACGGATCAATCTATCCATATCAAAATGGTCGTGAAAGGTAGAGCTCCTCAGTAATTGCGGACAACGTCGACAGTTCGAGACATCTATGGTGGTTTTACTCTATGTTTTACCCATTTCCGATTATTATTTAATAAGTACCCTGCGCGTAAGACGAGCTTTCATAATAACTGAGGAACTTGTCTTTTGCTGTCGACATAGAAGGACATACTCGGAGAATTTATTCAGGCTGGCATCGAATTCTAACGGACAATTTTAGACAAAGAGGCAAGCCGGTACGGCCGGCGAACGTGATGATTAAAGTCGGCGCAAGGAGGGGTGAGGTGCGTGCGCCAGCTAGCAAAACCCGCCCACGGGGCCCCCGCGGCTTTCCTGTGATTTTCTGTGCCATCGAACGACCACCACCGCCAAGGTTTACAAAGGGAACATCTACACACCCGCCATTCAAATCTATTGTGACAATGAGAGTCGTGGTTCGGAGGCGGCAGCCGCAGCTGCTTGTGATTAGGCCAAAGTGCCACTTCCTAACAAGCATATCGATCACTTGCAGAAGCCATCTGGCAGCCATTCGTTAACCCCTGTGATCGTCAGCAGGTCGTGCAGTAACGCAGCAGGGATTCGAAAGGCTCCGGGCTCTCACAGCCCATCCCATCGTTCAGGAGTCCTCACACTTGTGCATGTGAACGCACCACGCGCCAGAGGTAAATGAACACCCCTCCTCCCGTACGAGTCCCTGGCCCCAAACAACGCCTTTCGCAGTGTAATAGAAGTCCTGTTCGCGTCGGTGGTGTGCCTTTCACTCCCCCCTTATCATATCTGTCAACGCCTTTCACCTGATACCGCACCCCGCCTCCCTGCAATTCCTTTTTTCCCTCCATGCGCCCCGCGGGGCCCACGAGGAGCCTGAGAGTTTCCGGGCCGCGACCCTGTCTGCCGTGTAGGGTCTTGGGGGCCCCCTAGCCGCAGGGCCCAAGAAAATGGACTCTTCTCGCTGTTTCCTTGCACCCAAGGGAAGTCTCTTTTCCTTGCCCCCCACTCAGGAGGCCCTACATGACCTCATCCCTAAGTTATGTGAACAAAACTGCAGCTCGACCAACCCCCCCTCCATGCACACACACACACACGCGCGCGCGCGCGCACAGCGCACAGAAAAACACATATTGCCCAGTCCTGTGTGACAAAAGAAAGTCAAGACAGCACACCGCGTCACCTTCCTGGAATGGCGACCTATGCCTTGCTAGACTCGTTCATCTTGCAAGAAGTCCAACTGAACCGCAACTGATATATGTGTCAAGTGGCCGTTGCTGCTGTGTCATGTTGCTCCCCGCCCGATGATGCACATACTCACATCTAACACTTGTAACACATACTAACAGGAATTGTGGTGTCGCTTGTTTACGCGGAGATAGAGGATTAGGGTTATTATTTGATACGAGGCGTTGCAACCCGCCTAGGGAACGAAAAGAGTCAATGGCTCCGCAGTTCAAGGGGGTCTGTCTTGACACCTCCCTGTCACGCCACAAACACCTGAGCCTCAGCCAGCTTACGGTAGACTGCCTGCGGCCGGAGACGCGCGAGAAGGGGAGGTGATGAAAGGGCTATGGTAGAAGAGCGCGGGGAATGCTAAGCCGAAGGAAAACGGGTTCAAAGCAGCACGTACAGTCAACGGCAAGGGTGCACAGCGACGCAACCCAAGTGCCGTTCTCTTCCATGCGCAAGCGCGGCACAGCTTAAATATATACATACACACAGCGGCCTTCAATAGATTTCCCCGGTTAGGGCCCTTATATAGCGGCCCTTGGCCCTTGGTGCAGCCCGCCTCATTACTCTAGAACCTGCAACACAACGCATATTTTGCGCATATCGCAATCCGAAAACGTTGGCCATACACATGCACACGCGCACCTGCGGCAGTCTTGCCCCCGCCAAGCTGTTGGCGTATTGTGTAATCACCGCGAGCTCCGCGGCCAGCATGCCCACCGCATCACGGCCCACTGCCTGGCGCCGTGCAGCGATACTGTCCGCAGCTGTGGCGATCACGTCCTGCGGGTTGCAGGAGGTATGTGGTGGGCATGTAGCAGTGTAACAGAGCTGAGGATCCCTGTAAATGGAAGGAAGGACTGGTTTCCGGTCAGCGGGGCGGGGCGGGACAGGTAAAGGATGGCACGACGGCGGCAATAACCTGTCCCGTATGCCCAACATCATTCGTAATGTACGATAGGGCCTTCACAGCATGGCAATCCTCAACTAAGATATACTGCACAGGCCGTACAGGCCCGGCTGGTGGAGTCCTGCTTGGAAAGTACACCGCCACAAGTAAGACTTGCAGCGAGTGCTGGGAAGAGACCGTTCAACGGCACGGTACTAATCCTCCTCCTCGCCGCGATACAGATACAGATACAGATACAGATACAGATACAGACGCCTACTCATAACAGCACGCCCCGAGCTCCCTTGATATATATCTGTCCTCCACGAAGAAGGACGAATAGCACGACAAGCAGGGGCGAAGCCACTTCGTACTTCGCCTGCTTGAAGTGCCTGGTAGGACGCGCTCGTTTCCTCATTCTCCGTTCCATCCCTTATTCTTACCCTTCTTCTTCCTTTCTCGCCCACATTTTCTCATTTCTCCTGAAGCACTCCCCTTCCCGCCTGCCCTCCCTGTCGCACAGTCTTCCGCCCCTTCCTCCCGCCTCCCCCCAGTCCCGCACCTGCAGCCTCTCCGCAATGGCGGGGTGCAGCTGCGTGCTCATCCGCACGCACAGATCCAGACGGGAGCGCTCCGTGGGGATGAAGGGCAGCTCGGACAGCCGCTGGAGCGCCTGCGCAGTAAGCAGCAGCACGGTGACCAGATCAGATACACCACCAGGATAAGCAAAATTGAACTGCGCACCGAGGATGGGGACTAAGTGGGTCCGAACTTCCTTGGCACGGCGACTGAGGGGTTAGGGAAGCCTTGATTCATCACTTGCAATGCTTATGTATGTATGTGTGCCGCCACACGCGTGCGGCACACACACATACATACATACATACATACACACACATACATACATACACACACTGGCCAGTGTCATGCCGGGATCAATATGTAACGAATACACACACACGGGCGCGCGCTCACCTGGTCATGGCGGCCCCGTTTCGCGGCTAGCAGCATATCCCGAATAACACCCAACTGCTGAAACGCTTCAAGCTCGCGGCGGGCAGTGGGGTCAGCGATGATTGCGGCGGCGGCAGCAGATGCCGTCGGCGACGGCGCTGCGGCGGCAGCGGCACGGCTGCCCGACAGGCGCTCGACAGCTGCGCGGCCGCTGCGCGCGATGCGCTCCAACCGCTCCATCGAGGGCGTCGACGCGCCTGGCACGACGTAATTGTGGCGTGGCGTGGTGCAACGTGAAGGATCAGGTACGTACATGCCGTACAGAGTACGGAACATGTCCAGAAGAGATTCAGCGCTGACGACCGCATCGCACAAGAAAGCACACGCAACATATAGCTTCTTCGAGCTCACTGCGTGATGCCCCACCCCGGCCCCGCCAGCCGCTTGGGAAAGCACTGCACCGCATACAGCGGCCTGCACCACCCCTATCCCGCCTTAAGCACACCGCTATGCGGGGGAGCTGCGATGACTCGCAACCCACAGTCCCACCTACCTGGTTAATGACCACCACGGCCTCCAAGTTGAAGGAGCCGAGGGGACTCAGGAGCAGGCATCCCCCACTCCCGCTCGACTACCACCGCCTCTATGGCCACAACTCCCTGGCTTAGTAGCCTTACCCCGTCCGGGATACCCTCCCCCGCCTCTTCCCCCTCCAATCCCCCCTCTCCGCTGGGCCGCGAGGTCACACCACCAATACCCTGACCACCCACCACCACCACCCACCACCACCATTGCCACGTCCATGTCCATGTCCCGCCCTAAGCCTTACAACTCTCGCTCCCTACCGAGCAAGTCCCCCGCACAATATTTCATCCTCCCCACCCTACCCTACCCTAGCCGAGACCCCGAGCAGCCACACCCCACAACTAAGGTGTAAGCAGACGCGCACAGGTATCTCACATACCCGCCGGCGTGGAAGGCTGCGCCACGGCCTCGTCCACCGCCGCCGCAATGGCCGCCGACATCTGGCCGTTAATGAGCGCCAGGGCTGACACCGGCCGGTCGGCAGCCAGGTAGAGCTCCACAGCCTCTTCGGGCTGCGCCGACATCTAAATATACGTTACGTGGGGTTTGGGGGGGGGGGAAAAGAGACGGGGGGGTGATCAAGAGAGGGGAGGAAGGCAAAACACAGAGGAGTGATGCTGACACCAGAGAAAGGGGGATACTCCAGGAATGGACAGATCAGGAGGGGATGCGTGCGCCGTAGCCTCCCACATTGCATCCACCCTACCTGGCACTCGTACGCCACGCCCTCAAACAGCCGCCGCCGCTCCTCGGTGTCCGGCACCAGGGCATGCAGCGCACCCCGGGCTCCGGCACCACCGCCACCCAGCAGCGTCCCAAAGTCCCGACCGCCCACCAACAGCTCCCGGAGCATCGCGCCCTTCACCGCCAAACTGCCGCCGCGTGCCATCGCCGCGAGCCAGCGGTAGTAAAGTGCAGTACCCGAGTCGCCGGCGGTGACGAATTTGCGGCTGTACTGTACGGCCATGGTGGCCACGTCAGCGGCGGCGGAGCCAGGGCCGGCGGCGGCGGCGCCGTCCGCTAGGGGGCAAGCAAGGGGGATCATTCGGGAGACGTGGCAGCCAGGCGAGTTAGGACGCGTGGAAGGACAAATGGGCCAACGCCGTGCTCGGCAAACCACCACCATCCCGGTATACGTTCGTACGGTCTTGAAACACAAACCCTTCCACTTTTTTCCATACACAACCGGGCACCTTCTCAACCGGGCACCTTCTCCGTATCAGGCTCTATCCAGGCCATAAATGAACACAGAGAACACCGCACCGCACCGCACCGCACCCACCCGCACCGCACTCGCCAACGCCGTTGAGCACCGCCAGCGCGCCCTCCGCCTGCAGTGCCAGACCCATGTGTACGGCATCGAGACGGTACGGCTTTGTCGTATCATCACGCCAGAGGAAGCGCACCGCTGCGGCCCACTGCAGACTGAGAAGCAGCACCATCACGAACGCCAGGGGCTCACGATTTTGCTTGCTGCGTGGGTGAGGGTGGGTGTTAAGAGGAAGGCGGGAGAATTAGGGGCCGGAGGGTGGGAATCCGAACCAGATGGGGAAAATGGGAGAGGGGAACGAACGCCAGCAGCCGTACCCACAACAAGCGCGGAGAGCTCGGCAGCAACTCGCTAAACCCCGCTCGAGGCCGCGAAGGCAGAGCAGGTAAAGAGGGAGTAGACAAAGGGATAGGAAGGGTGAAACCTGCACAGATAGAGAAAGAGCGAGGCCCAAATAGAACACACACGTAGCGCGTGAAACCCCAAAACCTGACTTCCTCCCTTGCCGCCCGCATTACCATATACCTGTAGTACTGCGGAGGCCACCGGTTAATATCCGCCTGAACCTCCGTCAACGTGTACGAAGCCACACCCGCCGCCGGCGTCCCCGCCGCCCCCGGCCCGCCAGCTCCTCCCCCCGCCAGCGCCAGACGTGCCCACATGAAATCTTCAATGGTAGACAGGATGGCGGGCAGTCCGGCGGCCTGCAGGGCGGCACTCAGGGAGTCGACGGCGCGAGCATCCCCCGCCAGCAGGGCGCACACGAGGGCCTGGTACGGCGCCCGGGGGCTCTGGCGGAGGCCGTTCTTGTCGCGGAGCAGGCGCTCCGCCTCGCGGGCGAGCGCCACCGCGGAACTGCGGTGTCGTGTTACAACGGGGGAAGGGGCCCGCGAGGGGATGACGATTACGTGCAAGCAGCAAAGCGTGGGTGGGTTGGGCTTCGAGGGGAGGGGGAAGGGAACGGCAAGAAGGATTTTGGGGAGATTGGGGAGATGGGAAAGGGAGAGCTCCCGGGTTATGGGAGGGAGGGGGGAACAATGGTCCAAGAAGGGGATCGGGTCGAACAGGGCTGGACGAGGGGCAGGTAATGGAGAGAAAGAGGGAGAGGGAAATAGGGATTGAGATTGGGGCCGAAGGGGGGCGGGGGGATGGCAGGGGAGTAGACGGCGTGCAGCTAACGGGACATGCAGCTGATGGACATGCAGCTGACGACATGGGATACTGCGCCATATCCGTGCGCCATACCGCGCCGCGCCGCGCCGCGTGGGAGCTCAGGCCGCCATCGCGCCCCCGTCACCCTGCATACCGCCACACTGTGTAGCAGCACCCGGAGGCCGCCTACCCCTCTCCCCGGCAGCTGCCGCTACAGCCACTACCACTACCACACGAGGTGCCTCATCGTTACGTGGGTGAATAACGTAAGTACCTTTGCCAGGCAGCCACATGGCCATATTGCTTTATTCAACCCCGGGGCGGACCAAGGGGTGCCCCTCCGCGCTGCTGGGTCCTTAGGCCCTCCCTCCCCCCCTCCTTCCCCCCCAGCCCACTACCCACAGTCACCAACAATGCACTGCTCCCTGACAGCCGTGGTGGTGCGGACGGTTTCAAGACATTAGCCTGGACCACAACCCCCCTTCCCCCCTCGTGGTTCGTCTTTTTCCCCTACCCCCAACTGAATACGACAGTTAATTTTGTACTGTGTTGTACGCCGGCAGTTATTTCTCGATTCTATGAACATAGTCCAGCAGGGCCCCTTGTCGTTACCAGTAGCCCTTTCCAAACTCCATAACAGAAACCTTTTGCGCGTTGGGCAACCCCGTTCCCTTTCTTCGCCCTTTTTCTCCCTTTACACCCCAGAACACTCCCATCCCGTCAAGCCTTTGTTTCTTGCACATTAGGCATTCATATGGGTTCCGGTCCCCATCCCTCTTTGTATATTGTTCCCCCTTGTTTGCGCACCGCTCTGAGAGCCGGCATCCGTTCGCCGTCCACTCCTCCACCAGCGGCCTCATGCTGCCACCCACGCCCACCCCGCCGCCCGCACGGCCCCCCGCCGTCAGCAACAGCAGGTCCCCGCAGCGCTCCGCAATGCGCGCCGCCGCGCGGTCGTATCCGGACCTCAGGCAGTAGAAGAGCTGAATCCAGGACGTGTCCATGCCGTTGGGGGTCGCAAAGTCCAGAGGACCCCGGTCACGAAACTTGACCTGACAAGCAAGACGAGATGACAAGAAGAGAGATAGGGATTGGAAATTCAAAGAAAGCGGACAATTTACATTATTTTCTCAACGAGGCCAGAAGGATGCCGATGGTGGGATGTACATCCTCAGAATCAGCCATCTCGGAACTGACAGTACGGATGCAGTACGGATGTCTTCCTTCCTCATTTCACCTCTCTCAAATCAATCCAACCGTTCCAGTTTTCTTTGCAATCCCAACGACTTCCAGCGCCCCCCACATGCCAACCCTCTCAACATTCCTTCCCCCCTGCGCGCACACTCTCTTTTCCCCCTCCCCCGACACACACACAAAAACCAACGCGATAACCCCCGACCCACCTGCACATACGCCTGCACGTCCCGCAGCGAGTCCGGGTCGGGTCCTCGCTCTGCCACCAACTTGTACCTGTCAGGGATGTCCACAAATGAGCCACCAGAAAATAAAGACGGACCACCACGCACGGACCACCACGCACGCCAAGAAAATTCACAAAAATCAAAACCATCATAACAAGAGGCGGCGGCGCTGCTACGCAGCCCCTTGCTTGTTACGATGGTTTCGATTTTAATGTTTTTTCGAGGCCACGTCATGGGCCCCCGCCGATTGAAACTTGTTGCTATGTAGCTGGTAATGTGGTGGCAGTATACCTGGTGATGGTGGTCCGCATGTGGCGCTGGTGGCCGTCCTCCAGGTGCTTCCGAGCCCCCGCCACCAGGGCCTCCACGTACCGATGACCTGCCGCGGAGGGGGTCACATTGCGGCGGCGAGCTTCACCCAACACGCTCACCAGCAGGCCCCAAATCGAGGACATGGGGAAGTCCTGGCCGCCCGGCTTGTCCTCGTGCTTCTGCGGTGCCGGTGGTGAAAGTAGGGTCGTGAGGTCGGGGAGAGGCGCGCAAGGGCTAGGAAAGGGGTAAGAGGGGACGGGGGGCGCTGCGCGCTAGTGACGTATTAGGGTTCTGTCATAAAGCCGTTTACGCAACGCCAAGTCGCGTACGGCTAGTGGGGGTTTGTTTAAGGAAATGGAAGGGTAGACTCCTCGAGAAGGGCGTCCCTGTGGCTGCGGCTGCTTCGCTAGCTGCGTTTCCAGTCCACAATACAGCGGACCCGCCTGGACCTTGCAAACCTGCCCTGGCTACTTCGGGTTTTAGGGTTTAAACCCTGTTTAAACCCCAAACCCTAAAACCCATAACCTGCCCTGGCTACTGGCTCCGACAGCATCGAAATATGCAGGACATACACATATGTAAACGACTTTCCTTTTTGATGTAAAGTTAATAACACCAGTCTAACCACCCGCAAAGAGTTTGATTTGACGGCCCCACGCCCGACAGCGGCCCTCCCGCACCTCGCAAGCCTCCTTGAAGCCCTTGACGATTTCCAGCCCTGTCTGGCCCCCCCCATGGCTCCCAGCCGCCACTGCCATCTTCTTCACCATATCCACATAGGCGGTTTCCTTGGGAGACAGTCGCAAAGCCGGAGACGCAAACACCTGGCCACCATCGCCTGCGGTGATCAAGACGGCGCGGGCGTAGGAAAACGCGCACGCACACATGCATCCGCACATGCACAAATACAGGCATAAGAGATAAGTCCCAAGACCATTCGCAATATCGTGGCATCGGCAAATCCTCTCCGAGCCAAGCAGGGAGGGCAGGAGGGAGAGGCATTCCCCGCAACGAAAGGCAGCATCCAAGGTAGGGATACGGATGGCACACAGCCGCGACTAAGCAATCTTGTCTGATGCAACCTCCTTCCCCAGACACTTATTTATCTATCTATCTATCTATCTATATCCATCTATTTATAGCATGTGTGTGACAGGAGAGCTCCAACAGCCACCGACCGACCTGTGCCACTCCGTCCTATGAGCGGCTGAGGACCCCCCCCGATGGTGCCCATGCCGCTGGGCGCGATGAGTCCGAACAGACGCCGCTTGTTGGCTGCCCAGTCCCGGGTCATGCATTGGTCCATGTACGCCTCGAAAGAGGCATTGGACTCCTCCTGGGCCTCCTGCAGACAGAGGCAAGGAGGAGAATAAGCGAGGACACAGACACACATACAGAGGGCTGGTCTCTCCGGTCCTTTCCCCGCCCCCTCATTTCCCTACGCGCCTACCCACCTGGATAGCGGCCAGCAGAGTGGCTTCCTCCACCTGCTGCAGGTACTCCTCCACGCTGCTTGTCTCTGCGTGGAAGACATCCTCGATGGTGGGTACAATTTCCAGGCCAACCACCTCGGAGGTCAGCCTGCGGCAGGTGGCAGGGTCCTGGGTGAGTACGGCACGACGGGAGGCGGATGGGGGAAATGCAAAGCGGAAGTGCAGGTGGCAATAAGGTCAATGGGGAAGTTGCGTTGCGATGATGGGAACTCAGTTCTATGCATATGTAGATCGGCACGCTGTAGTTTGTACCCCGCGTGGTGACGGCGAGTTGAGGGAATGACAAGGGAAGCAGCTTTGATGCGTTGGCAAGCGAGCAGCTCACCTGCTAGCATCAAACCCTTGCTGGGCAAGCAAGCGAGTCGCTGCTGCTTGCTCTTCTGGGCCACGGTACCGGTTTGTCCGGGAGCGAAGTGCGTCGGCATACTGTTGGAGCTGCGGCAAGCTCCGCTCCACCCGCGGCACATTGCTGAAGTCCTGTAGAATACCCCAAGGGAGCCATGCAAGAACTTCGTCAGGGACCAATCAAAACCTGAAGCCGCCAACAGTGACGAAGATCGTCAAAGTCTAACCCAGTCTAGCCTGCTGATATGTTTCAGCTCAAAGTTTTTCAGATGAGCATACCTGGCCTACTAGGTCTGCAGATTGTTGCAATAAGGTATTCCAGTCGGCCGCTGCGGCCATTTCCGGGTATGACCGGCGAAGTTAAATGTTCCAGTGAAATGAGTTATGATCCATACATAGTTACAAGGACATGCGATGCAGAATTGTCCTGGAACCAAGTTTCGGCACTCTCAATTTTGGCGGGGTTGTCGTGCAGCGACAGAAGAACGGCATCCTGCGCTCCATGAGCAAGCGCAGCAGCATCACAAAATAAGTTATGCACGTTGGTTGTACGCGCATACACTTCTTTTTCATCGCTCTTTTGTATGCCCGCTGTCACCGGCTGATATACAGGTTAGAATACATCTGCCGGTCAAGCGTCGACAGAAGTGCATTGCATGTCCTTAGGATGATTTTCCATTAGTACATCTAATTTTAGGCATTACGTTTAAATAGGGGACGTGGGACGCGCCCTGTGTCTCTTTGCTTTGCAATTGAAGACAGCTTTGGCTCTTGGCGAACGGTTTGCAATCATGTCAGACAAGCCCTTCGCGGCAGAGGCCGCTCAGTTTGGGCAGGCAATGAATGCCATCGCTTATGGCGAGGTGGTCAAGGCAGCTGTGCGTGACTACAAGCGGGAAGTCTTGGACACGCAGGCGCAGGACGGAAAGCAATCCCATCAACTTGTAGCCATGGACGACTTGATGGAAGATGAGGAACTGCAGAAGCTCCATGAGGAACGCATCGCCCGCCTTAAGGCCGAACGGGAGAAGCGCAACCAGTTGACCCAGAAGGGACACGGTACATATACGGAGATAACGGAGGGCGACTTCTTGGAAATTGTTACGCAAACAGACCTGGTCGTGTGCCATTTCTTCCATCGAGAGTTTGAGCGCTGCAAGATTATGGACAAGCACTTACAGATCCTCGCTTATAAGTACTTTAACACGCGCTTTATAAAGCTCGCGGCTCCGGACTCGCCGTTCTTCACGGTGAAGCTCAATATCAAGATGCTGCCCTGCATCATTGGCTTCAAAAATGGTGTAGCCGTGGGACGCGTGACAGGTTTTGAGGGTCTTGGTGGTCGGGACGATTTTGCCACCGAGGCTTTGGAAGACCAGCTTACACTCATGGGGGTGATTGAGGCTCCGGAACGGGACAACGAAGAGGAGGACCGCATGGATGGGCCGGGTAAAAGTGTTCGCAAGAGCGTGCACTACGCGAAGACTGCTAGCGACGAGGATAGTGACTTCGACTGAGTCACCCAGAGCCAGGCTAGGCGTTATACATGACGTGGCCCACGGGACACTAGGACGTGCGCAGGGTTGTTGCCTGTTTGGCTCTATTGGGCATCGCTTCCCGACTTACTATTGGCTTTTCCTCTGGGTGTATGGCATGACTAAGATATTTTATGAGATGCGACTGTTACATAGCTTGCTCGCCCGGGCTACCGGCGAATAGCATGCCAGTGTGGGAAACATGGGGATTGAGCAGTGCATGTTTCTCCGCCCGACCCCGATAGGACTTGGCGTGATTTGACAACGACAAGTGTGCAGGAGTTGTGCCTCGAGTGACAACATTCGTTGACTGGTTCGCTATTAAGTGCACGACTGATGCAGTCGATGGTTTAGTCGAAACCAGAGTAGACACCAAAAGCGCGGGCTTGTCGCTTAGACTCTTCCACGTAGTTTTTCCCTCTTGATGATTGCCCGGCGTCGCGTTTTCGTTTTTCCTGCGACGGAGCAGGGCAGCGTTCATTCAGAGAGGGTACGACCTTAGCCGATGCTTGGCATGCAAGGCGAACTGTGGCTTGGGTCGTTCGAATGCGCAGCGGCGCAAATGCAGCAGGGTCGTCACAAATTTGCTTAATCGTCTTCCGCACATAGCTAGGCGCGCGATATGTCGAGTGGCGCCTATGCCTTTTTCGACATGCAGGAGTTATCTGTGGGAGAACGAACAATTGCTTATGTCACATGGATAAGCGGCTAGCAATCGGATTGGAGCTCGAAGTTACTGTCTTCCGCCTGCCGCGCCTACGTCGGGCCGTTGACCAGCGACGGGGAAAGGAGCCCGTAACTATACCCATGTGCCATCCATTACCTTTTGGTTAAATGTCAGGGCCTTGTCTTTGGTCGCTTTGAGCGCGTGTTTGGCCTCTAACCGCTCCTGTCGGGCCTCCTCACGCAGTCGTGCCGCATGCTGCATGGCTTTTACGGAGTGCACAGCGCTGTCCTCCATGGCCTTTGTGACAGCCTCACGGGTTGCCGCCCGGTCCTGCGTGTGCACATTCAAGATGCGGACACAGCACCGCGGCAAGCGAAGCTCTGGGGTGTTATTGTGGCCCCATGATGGAAAGGCGAATATGAACTAGCTTGCCAGGAGGAGGGACAGTGTAAAGACACGTCCGGTGTCCGCAGCCGTAATCAGACCAAAATGCCCCCTGCATAAAAAGCGGCGTGCGCATGGGTCTGTCCCCGGAAAATGGGAAGACGACGAAAACCCCTTGGGAAATGTATACTTGCGACATAGTATATCCAAGTGGGAATAAGTGGTCAGATTTACAAGGGATAGCTTGTGCATGGTCCTGGGACTTAGTGACTTTGAAGATGACCCAAGCCCACAGACAGGATGTGTTTTTGGTGACGTGCTCAGAACACCACAGGGGCTCCTCCTAATTGCGATTAGCACCATTAAATCTACTCCAACCGTGGCCGTGCTTGTAGCAGTAACCTGTCCCGCCGTACCTCAGTGTCATCATCGCCTTCTTGAGACTTCGCCGCACGGCCGTTGGACCTGGGAAGAGGGATCGAAGTTGCTGTTTGGAGGATTATCGGAGACGTCCCCAAGCTTCCTGGGCTTATCCTCCCCTCCCAGGTACACATCTGGTACACATGCGTCGAATGAGCTACACCTGCGTTATTCATCTGGGCCGGGACCCCGTCCTTCATTATAGTTTCTTCATTTAAGCCCCGCGCACCAGTTCCAATTCTGCGGTTCTTGCTCGGACGGGGGTTTCACCAAAAGGATGCTCGGTCCACTTTTGTAGCCAGCCCTCTCCAAGTCCTCCACGCTAAGAGCAGGTTTCTTCTTTGGGATTTTTATGTCCTCATTACCGCTGTCGGAGCTGTTAGATGCGTCCGAACCTGAGTCAATTTCGTCGGCGTCACCTAAAGGCATGCCCATAAATTTATCCGATTTCAGTTTGCGCGAAGCTCCTGACATCTCGATCTTCTGCAACACGATGTAAGGATCAACACGACTTTTCCAGACGTGAATCAAAATGATAAAAAAACTGAGTGTTGCGTTGGTTAAGTGGAGTTGTGCCCATAAGAATGATTTGTATTTCAATGTTTAGAAGCCATTTCTGACGGAAGGTGACACGACATGACATGCCGTATGGCAGTTTACGGTTAATACAGCATCTGCTGAGAAGCCTAATGAAACAGGTTCTCCGTGCTAAGCTCTGGACCCTAGGCATTGCTCCAGGAGATGTTATGAATGCGGTGATGGGTGTCGAGAATCAACGCGGATTGGCACATGTCTTGGATTGCATACGGAGACGTAGGTTGCAGTACATAGACGACTAATGAGGATCACAGTACAGTGTTTTGATTTGTTGCCTTTTTTTATTCTTTTCAGTTATTGTTTCCAGCTCGGCGGCTCATGAGCCTCTTGGCTCGTCTGGGCCGTACAAGCTCAAGAAGCTTGTAATCAAACGTAAACGTAAACGATGAAACAGGTTCTTCTGCTAATACCCAGACCTACTGAGCTTTTCTTGACTACATAGCTGCAGGATATGATGGAAGTTTCGCCAGTCACACGGCCTCTGCTGACGGAGCCCGGGGAGCAGGAAACATGCTGGATTTGCTTCGACAGCAGTTCTCAATCAAGAAAGCTAGTTAAGCCATGTTTATGCCCACGCTACGTTCATAGTGCGTGCCTGGCGCAATGGCAGGTCAGTGCTCCAGAACTCACCCCGCAACAAGAACACCGACTAAGTAGGGAGGAAGTATGACCATCCGTTGCTTTACTTCAACATTGCAACGATTTTATCACCGAATGAGTGATCATTTGGCCCTCCTTGCAGCTCTATTCGGCCGGGCGCAGGTGAGTCCTTGTCTTTTCGTCGGAGGCTACCGTCAACGGATCTTTCCTGAAACCAAGCGCCCACACCAACAAGGGATCCAACAAAATTAATCAAATACCTGCAGGGAAGAACACCACTGCAGGTTCTGCCAGCAGGTAGGCCCGGTGGTCCCTTCGCATCGACCAAAGCAACTGCCGGACAACACAAGCGAACCTCTCATTCACGCCCCCTGCGGTTTGAGCAATGCAAATGAATATTTTGAATAAAATCTTATTATCTGATAATACCTGATGGCTTTGATGCAAACTTTGCCACGTTTGCGTTCTCAAGTTTTGACTCATCCGTGCTGTACGGCTTTGCAATCAGTCATTCGCGATTGCGGCCAACCGCTTTCCCCATCCGGTTCACCAAAATCCTGCAGGAGTATCCTCCGTGGACTACGTCGATAACTCCGGTGCACCTGCAACCCAATACGGCGCAAGTGCAGCCCTGGATGGCCGTTATCTGCGGCGACGAAGTAAGCACCGGGACGACCACGCCCTCTCACAACGGAGGCTCTTCCATAGCTTAAATGATTTTATATGCCCTTCCCTTATAACTGTGTAATTTTGAATAATAAGTACTCATTTCGTGGTGAATTTAAGTGAACTTTTTATGTCCTAATCCCTAAAATTTTCAGGGTGTAATGTAAAGGCCATTTTTATGCCCTTCCCACGGCCGTATAAATTTGGTTTTTGAGATGCTGTTACCAGGTTCATGTTTGCCTCATATGCAGATCGAGGATTTGACGATTCTTGGTCCTCTTTCGGGTCCCGATTGTTTATAGATACCTTTTGCTCCTTATGCCACGTCCTCAGCCTGGCACTTGGTCACATAGTGACGCACAGCACGTGACGCACAGCATCCAATATTTTTGCTTCCCAGTTACCGTATCGGGGAAGTTGTCATTCGACCAGCCATCGAACGGAGGTTTAATCCGCGAGCAAACATACGCGCCGCCGTGTTGGTGTGCACGGACGGTTTTGTATGTACTCCTGCGCGTGCTTCTTGGGCGACTCATGTCAAGGCCAGTTCGAAAGCGTTCGCTCGCACACTCGTTCGTAGCGTTTCGACTCGTTTCGCAGCAAGTGATAGTTTTGCGCCCACTGCAATGAGAGATGCTGCCCCTATGCACGAGATCTAACACTTGCATCAATGCGGTCATCAGGGTGGTGGTTCTGATTCTTTGATCATCCTTTCTCCGCAGGTGGTCAATATCGCCGTTCGGCCAGGACCCCAAGGGTTGGAGGAATTCCAAGAGACCATCAGAAGGCTGTTTGGGTTCACTCAGGACTGCGACATCGAGGTAGGCATTAGGCATTCCGATAACTGCGGGTGCAGGGTGCAGGGTGCAGGGTGCAAGACTCGCTCACCATGCACGTGTCCTGACCGACTTGCAAGTACGGAAATACGTCAGCGCAGATCTGCGTGGTAACATGGCGAACTACGGACTGACGACAAAACGTGTGATATGACTGGTGCTTCCCTGGCGTGTAGTTTTGGAGGTCGGAGGTGAAAGGATGAGGGGGGGAGTGGAGAGGACATTTGAGCAGCGGCTTTTCGGGCCAACGCGGTTGGCCGGTTCATTTCACGGTGTTTCGTACAGTATATTATGATGCTGCATGTACGGCTATATATATGTGTGTGTGCACGTGTCCTGATATATTTTATTGTCGCATACATGGGGTGGTGAGATGGAAGAGTTTGCGATGAGATGGGTGAGAAGGGGCCAGCCGGGGGAGCATGACGTGGCGCAGGTGTGGCGCAAAACATGCTGACGTGCATGCGTGTCTTAGATTCACATACAGCGTGGTTTGTTGGCATTTTGCCTATTACGTGCCGTACAACGACACTATTTAATTCTGGATCTACGCTTGCAGGTCATGTGCTGTCCCTCCACCGCCGCCGCGGCATGTACCTCGCAGGTGACATTCCAGTGCCGTACACCCCTTGGAGGTACGCAGGGGCTGGGTTGGCGGGTGGACACCCATCCAGAAAATTGCGATAACCACTATTATTGCAGGAGCTGCTGCTGCTGCTGCTGCTGCTACTGCTACTGCTACTGCTACTGCTACTGCTACTGCTACTGCTACTGCTACTGCTACTGCTACTGCTACTGCTGGTGGCTTTCCACGGGCAATATCAGTTTGTCAGAGAGCGCATAAACGCGACGCTTCAGCACTCCCTCAATAACGCCGCAAACTTGTTGTTTCCTCCTAGAGGGCGGTGGTACGTATGGTAGAAGGAACGGCGGAACGAAAAAGGAGGAAACATAAGACAAGCCCGAACATGGCTCCTGGCAGGGTCAACAGGCTATATAAGAACACCCTGCGGCGAACAACAAACCTGGTCGTTAGCCAGTGAATCAGTTAATCAGTTAGCCAGCCAGTTAGTACTTCTTATCAAGACAGATAACTTCACGTTCTGGGCGGGTTTAGGGTCAGGGTAAGGCGCGCCGACCTCTGGCCCCCCCGTCCAGGGGGGATTTCTCATGCTTACACACCAAACCCTTCCCTTAGCCACATCCGCATCCATCCTCCTCCTCCTCCTCCTCCTCCTCCTGCTCCTCCAGATGCTAAAAGTCCTCCTCATCCTCATCCTCCTCATCATCCTGTTGCGCGGTGCTGGCTTCGTATCTATCTACCTTCATGTCCGCCTCATCTGCATCCTCCCGCCCGCAGCCCTGTCTGCCTGTTTGTCCCATTTTCGGTTTCTTTAACTGTCTCCCTTTTCCCCCCCGGCCCCCCCGGCCCCGTACCGCCGCCATCCGGCCGCTCCAGGTGCACCAGTAACTCTCCACGGCTTCCAGTGCTATGATGCAGCGGCGGTGTGTGCGGCCATCTCCGCAAACAGCCGTGTGGTGATGGGGGAGGGCACGGATCTGGCGTAGTTGTCCTGTCGTCGATGAGCCTGAGGGACGGTTGAGGGCGCCGTGCGTGTTGGGCAGATGTGGGTGAACCCCTCGGTCTGAGGGGTACATGGGATCCGCGTCAGGGGTACATTTCCAGTGCGTGAACAACCCCGTGCGCCCGCGCCGCAGCCAAACAACATGGAAGCGGGTTACACGGAGGAGGAAGGGATACGGTGCGTTGTGACTGGGAGGGAGATGATGGGGTTGGGATGGGGGCTGGGGGTAACCTTGGTATGTGGTCGATGGCAGGGCTGGGGATGCTCTATGCGAGACGCCGGAAAGAAACGCAATGGCCGTATTCTCTCGCAACCCATGGCAGAAGGGGAAACTAAAGGAGCTTTTCTTCGCGCAGTTTATCGAGTTGCATCAGGGGGTACAAGGCAGGGTATTTAATGTAGGCATGGAAGTGTTTGGCGATGGAGATGGTTATGGTGGTTCTAGTGGTAAAGCCAACCGCAGGGTCCGAAAGGATAATATCTCTAATTTGATAATGTTTGATATGTTGATAATGTTTATTTATGTTTGATTATGTTAAAGCTTTGGGGTTTCATTAGCTGGGATGCGCTTTCATAGGCATCAGCTGAGTCCAGCTGGTAGGCATACACGCGTTAAACATGCAGTGTGGCCCCTTTGCTAGGTAAGCAAGGTTTGGTGGTGCAGCTGGAGGCGGCAGAGGAGCACCTGTTGGTCGAAGCGACCCGGGGTGATTTCGACGCCATGTGTATGTGTGTGTCTGTGTCGTCCTCTCCAAAGGTTAGCATGCGAAGTTATGCCAAGCGCACAGGGAAGCGATGTTGAAAAAAGATGTTGTCCTTTAAAAGCTGCAATAGTGAGGGGCAAGAGAAATGCTTTGTGTCCTTTAAAATGCGGTACCGGTAAGCGTTTCATACAGATCACACATTCCTTGAAACCTACTTATGGTGTGAGATGCCAGCTTCAATATCCATGGCCTCTTCTAAAACGCGTATGAGGACTTTTATAAAGCATACAAGTCATTCAGTAGGAGACTGTTGCAGCTAGCAAGTATCATACATACAGATGCAAAGAAGCGACAAAAGGTTTTAAATATCTGGTAATTGTATGTCTTGTAAGTACACATTGTAGCTCTTTCACTCCACTTTGCGTTTCCTGTTGCCTTCTTTAGTCAGCACCTTTCTAGTCCTGATTCCGACGCTGCAGACGTAACATGTGCTAAGCTTGTATGAAATCCGACATAAAGCAAAGTAACATGAAGCATTCCGCTCGCAACAAGCCGGCCCGGAGCACAAGGCCCCCGCATTCCATACGGATGTGCTGCCTGACCGCTGCCAGAAGCAACACCACCATCACAGCCAGCATCAGCCCCCCTTCTCAAAAGGACAATACTCCGCGCAAACCGAGGGTTGTTGTCGTCGGAGGTGGCTGGGCAGGCTTTGGCTCTGCTCATGCTCTGCAGCAAGCAGGCGCCGATGTGGTCGTATTGGACGCTGCCGCCAGTCCGGGTGGCCTGGCTGCTTCTTGGAAGAGCGCCGGAGGCCGTACCGTAGAACCCGGCATCAAAGGGTGTGTGACTGTATACTGACTGTGCATGGATGGGTGGCCTTCAGTGGGTCGGTGGGTCGGTGCGTGGGTTCGCTGGGCGGCCGAAGATAATGATTTCCAATGTTTCGGGTTGGTGCCCGCCACGTGGTTCGAGCAGCGCCCGTGCAGCGTCCGCGGATAGGCTAGCGCCATAACGGCGCCCAAACCCAAAGCCATGGTGGTCAGCACCGTGCCCGTGCTTTCATCTCCTTTGCTCGCTTATCTTCTTTTTGTCATTCGCTTGGTCATGCGGTTCGCATCTTATCTCCCCTCCAGCTACTCGCCCCAAAAAGGCATCCGGGCTTTTCCTTCAAGTCCCGCCCACACACGCCCTCCTCCCCTCCCGCTTCCCCTCCCCCCCAACTAAAAAAACTCCAAACCCTCCGGTCCGTTTAAACTCCAACTGAAATTTGACATTTTCTTCCGGTGGGATTCAAATTTTTAAATGATGGAAAATCAATTCAAAATTTTGGACAGGTTCTGGTACCAGTACGCCAACATTTTCTCCTTGGTGGATTCCCTGGGCATCCGCGATGTCTTCACGCCCTTCACACAGTCGTCGTTCTACTCGCCCAAGGGCCTACAGGTCCGGTCCCCGATCCTCCAGGATCAGCCCCGCTTGCCGACTCCCCTGGGCTCCTTCCTTTACACGGCCCCCTACTTCACCAGCCTGCCACTGGCCGACCGACTGACAGCACTGCCGCTGCTGGGGCCACTGCTAGAGTACGGCAGCGACCAGGAGGCATACGACGCGTACGACAAAATCTCAGCGCTGGAGTTGTTCCGGTATGCTAAATGTTTGCATTTAGGTATTTGTCCTTTACTTGGGTGTATAGGAGGGGGTGGTGGGAGGGGAGAGGGGGAGGGGGGGCGATGTTCCGGACCCGGACCCGGATTTCGCGGCGTTGTGAAAAGGGCTTTTGAAAAGGGGTTTTTGTTGTGTGGGTGAGTGACGGCGGGGAAGGGAGGGGGAAGGGAAAGGGGAGGGGGCGAGAGGGCCTGGGGCCAAACCCACGAAGTTCCGTAATCACGAGGGCAACATCAGCACCAAGGTGTATCCCCCAGGTGCGCTAGAGGTTCCTCCCCTGATCTCCCTAAAACCCCCTAAAAACCCCCCACAAAATCCTTTTGCTAAAACCCGATACCCCGCCCTATCGCCCTCCAGCTCTGCGGGGGTATCCCGGCGGTTGTACGACGAGTTCCTGGAGCCCATGTTGCTAGTGACATTGTTCGCTCCGGGCTACAAGCTGTCGGCTGCTGCTGCTCTAGATGCGCTCTACTACTTCGCACTCGCGCACCAGGTGTTGGCGGGTTGG